TGAAAGACATCCCACGCTTTGGCATCGGGCGTTTATCACTGGCATCGCAGGAATTGGTTCTACAGTCTCGGATCAGCCCGTCAGGAAGTTCTGAGCTGCACCAGTCATTTACCCCCGGATCCACAGTTCCCAGACGCTCCCAGGGAGCAGTACTAGAGACTGGGATATTTATCCCAGAACTCCAGGAGATACTGTTGAGATGGATTAAAACCCAACTGCGTGGGCTGACTCTATCATGAACTTAAAAGTGATTCATCTAGATGAAAATCGATGCACTCTTGCACAGTGCACCAGCAGAAGCTCAAAACTTTAAGAGTGACTGATTCCACAACGTCTATACCCATTTATATGATTCATTCTCTACTGTGATAACTGGGTACCATCAGTGACAAGAGCAGAGAGCAGCAGTTTAAGACTACCACGCAGCTTGCTCCTGTGTCACAGAGCCTTTCCAATATCCATGTGCCTTAATTGTCTTTTTCACTTTGCCTTCGTCAGCACTAGCAGCTTTCCCCAACAACTCTCATTTTTTAACTAGACACCCCACAGGGCCAACAAATGGTGACGGGGATGGTTTTGAACCACTGCTATACAGCTGCCAACCACCAGCACCCATGCCTTTCTCCTCTAGCGTTCACACAGGCTGACATACCCAATTTATGCCTATAATTCACATACACAGCCAAAAAAACCACCAAACACGTACTTACTTCATAGTACCACTGAGAGAGGGGCAAGTTGTGAGTGATGGCAAGCCAGTTCCTGTGCACTTCAAAATCTGTGGAATAACTGCAGAAGGTTTATATTAAGAGTAGCGTACGTAAAGGACAAACATTTCGGAGGACACCACCAGAGGCAGACAAAGAGGAAGCCCACGCTGATCAGCTCTAGGGCAACTTCCAAGACATTGATCAGGTAACTCGAACAGGAACAAAGATCCTGCATGAACTTTGCGCTAAGGACATACACAGGCGCCTATAGGACAAGGATTCTTTATAGCTCGGCCTTTTCTGCCACTTAATGTCAAAATTTCAGGTTTTGACTGATTTTTTAATAGCAATTCGATTTTTTTTCTTTGTTTGGGGGAAAAAAGCTACAGTGCCTTTTAAAATTTAAGAAGCGTTAACGTTTCAAACCCCACCCTCCCTCTCCCCCGAACAACAGCCAGGCAGCACGGTCTGTAAGCGCCTCCAAACACAAAAGCGAAGCTATTCCGCACCGCCCAGAGGACGAGGAGGCAGCACCGCCAGCTCCCCACCAGCGCCCGAAGGGAACCGGGCCCCTCAGGAGATCAGGGCCCCGCAGGAACCGCGG